TGTGTGTTTGTATGTGTGTGTTTGTATGTGTGTGTTTGTATGTGTGTGTGCGTCTGTGTGTGTCTGCGTCTCTATGTGTGTGCGTGTGTGTGTAGAGACAGTGATGCAGAGGGATGCATAGACGGAGAAAGTAGGCGAAATGATATTCGATTAAATCGCTGGTCTTTCCGGGTAGATGGTGTGCATAACGTCGTTATGATGTGGATAGCAGATTTGCGTGAGAATTAACGTGGGATGTGCATGCGTTTAAGTTTAAGAATACAGACTGGAACTGTAATGCACATAGCTTATCAGAAAAAAATTTAGATTGCTTTTAATAAAAAGAAAAATTGAATTCTCGATAGTATTGATTGATTTTTTTTTTGCTGCTAAATTATTAGAATTGCATCCGGTAGTTCTGAAATCTTATCAAAGTTATATTTCACGTATAATATAGTAATTATTTTTTACATTATGTTAAAATTCTTCATATCATCCGACAAGATTGTATCTAAAGTTTTTTATTGCAATTTCTTGATTATATGTCTAAAATAGTTCCTATGAAACGGTATTATTACATTTTACTAAAATATAGTAATTCTTTTTGTAGCATCTTATACCAAATATGAAGTTGAATGCATTATAATTCATATATTTCGTTGCTACATAAACGGTTCAAAACTATAAACGATTGAATTTTGTATTACATGAAAGTAACTTAAGTTAATCATTATCATTGCTTCTCATCTCACCTCATCTCATGTATAATATGTTTTATGGTAGTGTGAAATTTCCATAAAATATACCCTTATTGCAGTTATTGATACTGTTACACTGTGAAGAGGGTAATATTTGAAGTGGGACATTCTTTTGTCTGTGGTATGAAATTAATTGTTAATTAATTGTGCGTAGAGAATGTTGAGACCAGTTCTCATTACCCATTGATGGAATTAAATTTCATGAAAATTGATATGACAATAAGGAATGATAGAGTGAGTGGTGTAATTGAAAGGCATAATTTTGCTCATATATATAATGACCTGAATCTATCAGTGTTTGATATGATACTATCAGGTAGATTTTACATTAACAGTTGCTGGTAACAATCACATCTTATAGGCCAATGCAGATATTGTTAGAGTGGAGTTCATCCACTCGATGATTTCAATACATCGTCATTATCCATTCTGCTCTAGAACTCTATTCTTATATAATATTCAGATATTAAATAGATAATTGTTTCATTTCTTTGTTAGAAATGTTAAGATTCGTAAAAAATCATATCGCAGTCAATTTAGAATAAAATTTATGAAATTTTCAAAGTATTACATATTTCGGAATAGTTAAGTTTTCAATCGTGCGGAGTTTTTTTTTTTTTTTTTAATTTAGTGACTAATAGAATCTGCCACTTTCAAAATTTGTTCGCTTTCCTTGCTTGCTTCTCTGCGTTCTCGCTCTCTCTATGTTTCTGAATGCCTACCATTTATCGATTATTTTTCCCTAATTTTTAAATGGAGACCATTTCAAAGGAGTAGAAAAGAGGATGGGAGGGCAGTGTACATGTACATGTGTAAGGTTGTTGAAATAGGCGGTGGTATTAGAGTGGCTGGTTGGAATGGGTGGTAGGATCAATTTTCCGGCCAACATTTCGTTCATCATACTAATCCGCTTTCTAAACTTGTAATAACCACAAAAACAAACTCTTTCAAAGAGAATTGAATAATATAATTAT